CGTCTTTTGTGCTAAGAAAAAAAAAATAAAAAAAAAAATATAAAAACCAATGCAAAAAATTTACTGCGACAACTGCCTTTAAGTAGATTCTAAAATTAGGTAAGATTTATTTGCCTGGAAGCTGCTATAACAAACCAATCCATAAAAAAGAAGAAGAAAATTATATTCAACTCGACATTCACTACACATCCACTTACATCTTATAAAAATTATAAAGATTTTATAGGGCAAAATTTCATTTATGAACCCCCCCAATTTCGGCGAGCTAGACTCATTTCGATAAGAGCGAGGGACCGTCAACATCGGCGGCGGCAGTACGGAGGAGGAAGGATCGACGCCTTGAACCCGCCGTAAACACAGACGGCCAAGAAGTAGAAAAAGCTGAGGGAGTGGTGTAAGTCATTGAGGCACTGCGACAGGTCATGAGGAAATTAACTCCTCGCGACAAAATCGTACAACTACATGTAGTGTACACCGACCAGATATCAGCATATTGTGGATGTGAGGATAGGCTGTATGGACGCGGGTGCATCCTAATCCAAAAATTACCGGAAACGAAGGAGTAACGGACGGTACTCGTATTCGGAGTACGCAGCATGTTCACGTCGCTTAACATGACACTCAGCGTCTATCCTATCAATCGCTACAAAGCGGATGCAGAACTATTAATGGAAAACTTAAGATTCGCAGAGGAGATCGGGCGGTGACCTGCGACAGGAGCTGCGAGATCTTCAATACCACGTTAGGTAAGCGTTTACTATTTTATGCATAATTATTTCAAATAAGAAAAGCACTAAATGCTCTTTTTTACACTTTCAGAGGCCTCGTGTACCTACTTTTCAGGATAAAAACGGTTATAAAATGTCACCAGATTTAATGCCAAAAACCAAACCGGAACTGTCTTCCTCCAAGTGACGGGCTACTTCAGCACTAAAAATTTGTAAACATGTACATACTGAGCTACACAGCAATCTTCTAGCTGAGTACTTTTGGAACAACTACATTCAACTTTATATCTTCGGTAAATAAGTAAAATTCATTTAATGTTTTTAAATTCGTGTGTACGTTATGAGTATTACCTGCTGTTAGGCGATCACATACAATATAAATAACAAGAAAAAACAAATAAAATAACTATTGTATAAGGATTTTTTATTTTATTTTATATTTTATATAATTATTATTAATTGTTAGTTAATAATGAAGCAATGACCAGTGGTATTTTAATACTCGAACCACTTTGCAAGAGGCCCGTTTGCAATTATCCGATATTAAGAACTCGTGGAGTGGTCAAAACTTAACTTTAGAAACCCAAAGTTAAGTCGTCTATCTAAGCAGGTGGCGGAAAAAACCACAGAAAAAAGAAAAACCCAAAAAATCCGCGGTGATCCGTACGTGGAAGCTCGCCATTTGTTACACGCCGTAGCCACACTATTGAAAGTAACGGAAGCAGAAGAGAAACTTATGCATGACACTTTGACTTGAAAAATGAGTTGGTTGGCTGATCTCGGCAGCGGTCAACATGCCGTTTCCCTAGGAGGAATGTAGGAAATTAAATCCTTCAGCACTCAAAAGTAGGAAGAAACCCATTTTTTCTCTCTTTTTTTTTAACATATTTTTATTTATCCTTTAGTAATCATTGATAGGCTTTCAATTTCCAGTAAACCAGAGATTTTCGTTTAGCAAAAATGTGAAATTTTTATACAAAAAAATTTATATCCAGATATCAACAGTGAATTTTATAACAACTTTTTAGATACAATGATTTTAATAAAATTATTTAATTAAAATATAATTACAAAACACACCAAAATATAACAAATAAATTACAAAAAAAAAAAAAAAAAAAAAATTATTTAAAAAAAATATAAAATAAATTTGAAAAGAATATTTTAACTAAAAAAAATCAAATATTAGATATTTTTTTATAACATTGCAACTGTTTAGCTTAAAAATTATACCGAACTGTTACAAAACTTAATTAATTTACATAATGAATTAAGTAAATAATAAAACTGTGTATAGTTTAGCTTAAAAATATAACGTTTACATAAAATTTCTTTAAAAACTTTTTTTTAATTAATTACCAAATTCGCAGTATTTGTTAATCCTTTCAATTTTTCTATGCTTTTTTTTTTTTTTTTTTTTTTTTGTTTGTTATGTATTTAAATAAATATTTTTCTTTTCATTATTTTTTCGTTACTGTTTTACTTATAATTTTCTTATGCTTCGATCTGCTGCTGCCGAATTAAGTTTCGTTCTGCAAAAGAAAAAGTTTTAAGAAAAAAACATTTTTTCGTTATTTAAATATTATGCTTTTTTCTTTTTAGTTTTAAGCAAAGCAAACTCTAAAACATTGTATGAAAAGTATTTTATATATATATGATTTAAGAGCTTTTCCAGACCCATCATTCTCTTAAGATTAGGAAATTTGATGGGTTTAGAAATTAATAATAAAAAAATGCATAAAATGATTATGTTTTCGCAATCGTTGAAAATGAGAAAAAACAGTCCATAATGTTAAAATTAACTTGAAACATTCACCGGGCATATAAATCTACAGGGTAGTCACAAGACTTTTGAGGTTATGTCTTGACATTTGTTTTAGTTTCGATTGACGTTTTAACTTGACTAAATTCTATTATATAATAATGCAACAATGTAAAGATTCGGATATACGACCACCTCCATTGCCTCCAAACCAAAAGATCATTGTGCCCGACGTACTCGTGAAATCCGATAAACGTACAGGAAGAAAAGGCCATTGGGCAAAGCCCAGGACTTACAGCGAATGCAATTCGATTTCAAAAAAGCGAACAAATATTAGCTTACATTAGGTTAATAGCAACAGCGAAAGCTGCCACCGCCTACTCTTCAAAAGCACATAAAAGCTCGACTTCGGGCGTATTCGTTTTTATAGAGCACTAAAGCGCAGTGTGATTGCCTCTAGGCAAAGATTAGGTTATGATTTTGAACAAGGGTTCGTTAGAAAGCTCTCTAGAGAGTAGGGTCTAAATGCATGCTCCTTTTTCATATCTATACATAGCACTGATTACGCAGTGTGACTGCCTCTAGGCAAAGATTAGGTTACGCAACAGCGATAGCTGTCGTCATCTGTTGACTTCGAACTTGGCTCCGTTGAAGAGTTCTCTGGTGAATGGACTAAACGTATGCTCCTTTTTGTAGAGAGACATATGGTACTGACTTGACAGTGTGAAAGCCTGGTCCGAGAGAAAATTGAAATTTTCAATTTTTCGTTTTCCATAAAATGCGTTTGGAACATTAAGCTTAGAAAGAGTTTTAATTTAAAAAAATGCGTTCATTCACGATAAATTTCATGCCATTAGTTATTTAAAAAAAACCAGTAAAAATATTATAGTGGTGGACCGTGTCCCTCACCAACAACTAACCTACAGAATCCCATATTTACTCATATAAAGACTTTTTAAAATAAGACATTATAAGGGAAGTAGTCGAGAACATGATCCGATGCGAACCATTTTCAGTAACGCTCGTCTTTGAGCCATAGCACGTCAGTGAACTAAATTTCATTAAAATATCTCAAATACTGTGGCCACAAGGTTGAACAGAAAGAAACTGGACAGACGGCTAGATGGACAGACGTGTTTCAACGAGCTCAGAACGTAGTTCTGCATCGAACGAACCCCAGAGTTATTTATATAAAGACTTTTCAAAATAATACATTATAGGGAAAGCGATCGAAAAAGTGATTCAATCCAAACGACTTTCAACAGTGCCCGTCTTTAGGCCAAAGCACGTCAGTGTACTAAATTTCATCAAATATCTCAAAAACTGTGGTCACTAGGTTGAACAGAAGAAAACTGGATGGGCGGATAGATGGACATACGCATTTAAACCAAATCAGATAGGAACTCCGCATCGATTGGCATAATAAAAGGCGGGTCTCAACATATCGTCATCCCACAATTAATGCAGAGAACAAATTGACCAAACTATAAGTTATTGGGAGAAAATTTTTGCCTATAGCGATTATTTCCGTATGTCTGTCAATTAATTTGTCTTTGATTAACAGAAGCTAAAAACGAACAGAGCAAGTTAATGATTGAAATAAGCAAAAGTTCAAAGTTTTATTAAAAAAAAAAAAAAAAAAAAAAAAAATTACATGCATCTAAACTCTTACCCAGTTATTATACGATTATTATTTATTGTATTGGCTTTTTCCAATTTAAAGCTTAACGTGGTGTTAAATTTAATGGACGCCGACTTTTGCTGCTTTTTTTTATTTTTTTTTATTTTTTTTTTTAATATTATATCGACATGAATTGCAAAACGAATTACAAAATTGTTAATATTTTTTTTTGTTTTTTGTTTATTGTAGGGAAAGAGAAAAAGAAGGAAGGAGAGAGCAAGAAGCGTAGATTAGTAAGATATAGTCTAAAATTGATTTCTTTTCAACTTTTTCTCTGGCGAATAAGTTAACAATTCGTCCTGGGTATGGTTTGAACGAGAATAGATTGAAAAAAATAAGGAAGAGAGAGAGAGAGAGAGATAATTACTTTGGCATCATTGGGGAAATTGAAAATCAAAAATGGTTATTAATTATAATAAGAATAATAATGTAAGCTTTGAAAATAAAATTAAAGTTAAAGGTAAATAAAAAAATTAAAAATAATAAACCAAACTAAAATCACCGCAAAGAAAATATTGGCTGTTCACTAATAGTAATAAAAGTTAATGAAAACATAGAAGAATGAGTTTTTGATATTCGAAGAGGCTTTAACTCTGTTCGAGGGAACAGCTATGCGAGATTGTGAGATGAGAGAAAGTGCGGACGGCTGGCATCGATAGAAAGATTAGAATGCATAGTTTGCAGGTCTGGATTGCTTTAAAAAAGGTGAAGAAGAAGACGAAAGAAACGATCGCCTTCGTTGATGGCGATGGCAAAGACAGAGAAAAGATTAAAAGACGCTTAGGAAACTAAGTCGGACTAGGAGGTAAAGAA